GCTCACCATAGCACATACCCTCCCCAATGTCTATCACCCAGCCACCCCATCCCTCCCACCACCCCCCAACTCCAGCAACCCTCAGTTTGTTTCCTGAGATTAAGAATTCCTCATATCAGTAAAGTCATATGATACATGTCTTTCTCTGATTGACTTATTTTGTAGAGCATATGATCTTGATCTTGGGATCATGAGTTAGAGCCCCAAGTTGGAAGTAGAGATTACTTAAAAAAAAAAATTAAAAAAAGATATTTTCAAAAATATCATGGTAAAGATGGTTAAGTATTCTGTAAACACATAGGCACAGACTGAAAAAGAAAAAAAAAAAAACAACCAAAAAACAATGTTTGTTTTTTGTCCCAAATTGAGATTTTCAAATCCTAAGCTAGGGATATCTATGCATGCCATTTTACCTTCAACAAATGGAAAAAATATCTACTTTTATAGGTAGAACTGTTGGGGATTTAAGTTTTTAAAAAGTTATTTCTTCTTGGGGCACCTGGGTGGCTCAGTTGGTTAAGCAACTGCCTTCGGCTCAGGTCATGATCCTGGGGTCCTGGGATCGAGTCCCGCATCAGGCTCCCTGCTGGGCCGGAAGCCTGCTTCTCCTTCTCCCACTCCCCCTCCTTGTGTTCCTCCTCACGCTGTCTCTCTCTCTCTCTCTCTCTGTCAATTAAATAAATAAATAAAATGTTTTTTTTTTTTAAAAAAAGGTTATTTCTTCTTATGAACATTGTGGTTTCCTACTGATTTAAAGAATAAAGGGAGAATAAATCTGCATGTATGTTAAAGGTTTTAGTTGCCAATTATAGATCCTATATATTGTCCTTCGAATAGCCCATTTATTCAACATACATATGCATCCTTAGGATACTGCCTAAAATGTGGTCAATGCATATGTATGTTGAATGAATGAATGGACTACTCTAAAAACAGTATGTTGGGGGGCACCTGGCCGCCTCAGTGGGTAGAACATGCAACTCTTGATCTCAGGGTTGTGAGTTCAAGCCCCACTTTGGGAATAGAGCCTACTTAAAAAAAAAAGAATAAAAACAATATGTTGGGAAGACAGACAAACAATTCTAATACAGTGCTGCAACCAATGTATGCAGAGTAACATGTTAGAAGAGGCAAGACTATAACTAAAGTTGCTGTCAGGAAAAGTGTCTGAGCGGAGCTGCAATACCTGGGATGAGTCATGAGATAAACAGATAAGAGAAGGAAAGGAAGGGAGCTCCAAAGAAAATTTAAGATGCAAACATACATTGGCTTGAGTAAGTGAGCAACATGTCTGAACCGCAATAGCAAATGTTAAGGATGGACAAAGAAATATGGCTGAAAGTGTGGGTAAGTATGCAGATAACAGTGCCCTGTACACTACATTAAGGGATTCAGATTTTGTCTTATAAGGCACCTACACAGACCCCTAGGGATTTGTAGACGTAGCCCCAAGGCTACGTTTCTCTTAGAGAAATCTTTTATTTTCAACTTGATAAAAATCAAAACCAAAAACATTTTTTTAAAAGGATACTCTGGATCATCTGAATGGCCAACTTTTAATTGATAACTGTCATAAGATTTCAGTTCACATGTTTGTGTTTAGCAGTGCACTGGCAAACAACCGGTATCATTTGTCATCGGCACAGGTTAATGAGAAAGAAAGGGGAACTACTTTATGTAAATGATGGTGTTTGACAAGTGAAGGTCAAATGAAATGACGACACACTGAACAAAGGAGAGCTTTGCAGTGGTTTAAATAAAGAAAAGAGATGAAGGCATTGAGTAATCTCAACACAAGTACAAAACGGACAGGCCTTTTGTAAGGAAATTATGCTATGGAGGACAATGAACATTTGCTTTTGGAGCGTATTAGGTCCAGCAAAAAGAGTCTCATTGGTAAAGAATAAGTATTCATTTGAATTTATTTGTTTTATTTTTGCTTCATTTAACTTATAACTGGGAGTTATAGTTGTATAAGATATACAACATAAGGAGTTTATATATAGTTTTATATTTGCATATATTTAACATACTGAAAATATTTTAAGTTAACAATAGAGAATCCTGGGTATCTACTCAGGCTTGAGAAATTCTGTTCTGGGTGATTGGAAGCCACTGAAAGATTTTAATAAGGAAATGACAGATTTGTGCTTTAGAAAAATCACTCTGGCAGCAGTATGGAGGGTTCGAATTGAAAGTACTTAAGCAAGGCAGGAAGGAGGCTACTTAATATAATAATGTGATAAAATGGTGAGGCCCTAAATTACTTAGGTGATATAAAAAGGAGATGGATAGGAGTTAGAATCAAAAGGACTTGGTTGTGGGTGAGGAAAGGAGGGTATCCAGGATGACTGCCCTCTGGGTGAGTTGGTGGTAAGATAAAGACCACAGGAAGACAAACAAGTGAGGGTGAAGAGGAATGAGAAAAGAGAGATGATGAATTTCAGTCAGCAACGATTTGAATTTCATTTCATCCAAAGAAAATCCAGTTCTCTTTTCTGGGTCCCAGTTTTCTCAGTGACAGCTGCATTCATGAATTACCAAATTAACTATTATAGCGCGCTCTAAAAATACACATAGCACTCCACAGTATGCTGTAAATAAGTCATGAAAAATCAGCAAAAGCCCAGGCCCTGAAGGAAATTCAGCAGGGTTAAAAAGAGATGTGGCAAATTTTTACTAAACACTTAAGTTGTGACCCAACGCACTCACCCAGTATTGTACTCTGCTCTGTCAGTCAGAGGCGATCACTCCCTTGCCCACACATGAACAAGAGGTAGCACGCCCGAGCCCACGTGGCAGATACAAAGACACCACCCTCAAGGGACGTGCAAAGCGAGGGGGCACACCTACTGCACGATTACTGAAAACGTAGTGTAGTGGGAACTTTGACCCTACAGGCAGGGGTAGTTGACAAAGTTACCTTTTACTTAGAAGAATCAACGTGGAATAGCTTAGTCTGATAAGAATGTAAACATTTCGTATTTTATTACCCAAAGAAGAAAAAAAAAGAGGCGAGAGAAAGGAAAACGCAGCAATTATCGCAAAACCAGCCTGTGTCCCCGCAGGCCAAGAAGGGCGAGCTCTGGAGGAGTAATTCAACCCTAGTTTGGTGGGGATGCCAGCATCTTCCACCACTCACTCATAATACAATAGCATAATGTTTATAGACCCAAAATGATTAACCGTCAACCTCATCCACAATGTCCAACGTGCGACTGAAGGGAAAGCCGCGGGGCGTACCTTTAGCACGGACGCTGCTTTGGTGTGTGTGTGGGGGGGGGAGTAGCACTCCACACAGCGCCCTCTCGGCACCCGGTCAGCGCCTCCCAGAACGAAAGTCGGGAGCTGATGGGCGTGAACGTACCGGGGCGGCACGATTCGCACAGAAAACCGACGCCAGGAGGCGGCAGCACAGCGCCCCGGTGCTCTGCCCCGCACCGCGTGCAGAGCAGGAAAGAGACGCCCGCCGCACAGCGCAGTCTCCGCCCGGCCCGAGGAAGCGAGGCCGGGCGGGGCCACGGCTGGTTGGAGGCGGGGCCGGCTCAAGAGCTCTCTTCCCGCCGCCTGATGGGAACTGTAGTTCTGGGAACTAGCCAGGCTCCCTCAAAGGGCTCTGGGAACTACACTTCCCGTTGAGGGAACGGCTCCAGCAGGCCGCGCGTTACGGGGGCGTCAGACTACCCGCACCAGCGCTACAGAGTGTTTGAGGGGCAGGCCGAAGGAGAGTCTTTTCCTTCACTCTGCGCTCAGGCGGTGCCGATTCCGCCTTATCTCGCCCCACGGCCGTGCGCTCATTGCCCGGCTCCCCGTGTCAGCTTTTCCTGGGTCCCTCAAGGAGTTGGGGCCTGGAGGTTCGGAGGTAACGGCCGCTGCCTTGCGCGGGAGCGAGGGGCGCTCCCTTCTTCAGCCCAGCCAACCCCGCACCCAGCCCTTGCCTCCATGGGCCCAACTCGGAAACCCAACGTGTGCCGCCAGCTGAGTCGCCGGGCGCTGGGCTTCTTCTCGCGGGACGCAGGCGTGGTGCAGAGGACGAACCTGGGCATCCTGAGGGCGCTGGTGTGCCAGGTGATCGCCGGCGGCTGGGAATGGGGCCAAGGGCAGCGGGGCGACTGGCGGCCAAGCCTCCTGCCGGGTGCAGTTTTTAAGCGTTAGAGCCTCCTTTTGAGAAGATCACATGTGATGAGCAGGGAATCCAGGCCTTGAACCTGGGGAATTAGTAAATAGCTATTAATAGAACCTCCAGATGCTTTTCGTTTTAAGCTTCTTATATCTTTCGTGCAAACGATCTTCCTAAAATTTGGTCACCCGGCTTAACACGTGAGGGCAGAGTGAGGAAGATAGGAACATAATGTTTTAAATAACGTACGTGAGATTACTTTGAAAACTGACTGTAGATTTAACTCTCCCACTTAAAATTGGTGCACGGTAGAGACTTATGAATTATTCCCTAAACCAAAATTCCTTGTGTCTTTCAGGAAAGTACTAAATTTAAGAATGTGTGGACAACTCATTCCAAGTCACCTATAGCCTATGAGAGAGGAAGAATATATTTTGACAATTATCGGTGCTGTGTCAGCAGGTATCTTTTTGATGAACATTTTTGCTGTAATTCACCTCATTGTTAATCTTAACTAATTTTTATAGAACCACATGCTATATCAGTGTTTAATGAAATAGGAGAATGGAAAAATGAGCCCAAAAATAAGAATAGGTAATAAAATGGGTTGTAATTTTAAAATCTTGTTAAATCCAAAGTTAGACTAAGACTTCATCTTTGCAAATACCAATTTAAAACGAATTTACTTTATAGTGCGGGCAAAATGATGGGTTGCTCAGGGTATGGAATAGTCTTATTATGCTTAGAAGATACCAGAGTCAAGGGAGCCAGGTATCTAATAATTAGATGCTGCTTTACAGAATAATTTTTTTTTTAAGATTTTTATTTATTTATTTGAGAGAGAAAGACACAGAGATAGCGAGAGAGACCACGAGCGGGGAGGAGAGGGAGAAACAGTCTCCCCACTGAGCAGAGAACCCCGATGTGATGCCTGATGCGATGCCCGATGCTCAGTCCCAGGACCCTGGGATCATGACCTGAGCCACCCAGGCGCCCCCTAGAGAATTTCTGTTTTGTTTTGGAAGTACTTGCATTTTTTTGTTTGTTTTAAAAGAAAAATTTCAAACTTGCTTCAAAGAGAGTAGTATAGTGAACCTCCGTATACTCATTACTAGATTCAAAAGTGATCCAGATTTTGCTGCATTTGCTTATCTATCCCATTGTCCCCTTTTCCTTGACCTTTTTAAAACTATTTTAAAGCATATTCGAAACACCATGCCATACTTAAGTTTGCTTCTCTAAAAAATAATAAGACTTTTTTTTCTTTCTCTTAATAGCTTTATTAAGATATAATTCACATACTATACAGTTCACCCATTTAAAGTATACAATTTAATGGTTTTTAGAGGAATTTTGGTGAACCATTGTGGTTCATATAGGCAACCATCGCTACAGTTAACATTTTCATCACCTCAAGAAGAAACCGTATTCCATTAAGCTATAGTCCCATCAACCTTCAACAGACTTTCTGTCTCTATAGATGCACCTGTTCTGGACATTTCATATAAATTGAATCACATAGTATGTGGTCTTTTGTGATTGACTTTTTAGTAGAATTACCAGTTTATTATAAAGGGATATAATTCAAGAACAGCCAGATAGAAGAGATATGTAGGTATGTGGGAAGGGGCATGGAATATCCATGCTCTTTGAGCATACTACTGTCCCTAAATCTCTACGTGTTCACCAACCCAGAAGCTTCTCTCCTTTGGTAATATATACATTTAGTGCTATTCTTTTCCCTCAAGCACTGTTTTTGCTGCATCCCACAAATGTTTATATATTTTATTCATCTTCATTTTGTTAAAAAATATTTTTAAATTTCTCGAGACTTCTTTGACCCATGTGTTAATTAGAATTGTGTTGTTTAATCTCCAAATCTTTTGGGATTTTCCAGCTTTCTATTAATTGACTTCTAATTTATTTCCACTGTGGTCTGAAAGCATACTTTGTATTACTTCTCCTCTTTTAATTTTGTAAAGGTGTGTTTTATGGCCCAGATTATGGTCTCTCTTGGTGAATTTCATATGAGCTTGAGAAGAATGTGTCTTCTGCTGTTATTGGATGAAGTATTGTATAGAAGTCAGTCAGATCCAGTTGACTGATAGTACTGTTCAGTTCAGCTATATCCTTACTGACTTTCTGCTTGCTGGATCCACCAGTTACTGACAGATGTGTTAAAGTCTCCAACTATAATGGTAGATTTGTTTCTCCTTGTGTTCTGTCAGTTTTTGTCTCACATGTTTTGATATTGTGTTGTTAGATGCATACACATTAAGGATTTTTTATGTCTTCTTCGAGAAGTGACCCCTTTATCATATGTAATGCCACTGTTTATCACTGATAATTTTTATTGTGGAAGTCAACTTTGTCTAAAATTAATATAGCTACTCCAGCTTTCCTTTGATTAGTATGTGTGGTATATCTTTCTCCATTCCTTTACTGTAATCTGTGTGTTTATATTTGAAATGGGTTTCTTGTAGATATCATGTATTTGGATCTTGTTTTTTTATCTACTCTGACAGTCTCTGCCTTTTGATAGGTATATTTAGATCATTCATATTTAAAGTGATTATTGATATAGTTGGTCTTTTTTGGTCTTTCATTCCTTTTTATGTCTTCTCTGCTTTTAATTGAGTGCTTTATATGATTCCATTTTCTATTTTAGCATATCAATTATACTTATTTTTAAAAATTTTTAATGGTTGCCTTAGAACTTGTAATACATATTTACAACTAATCTAAATCACTCTCAAGTAGCACTATACCTCTACATGGGTAGTGTAGTTACCTTATAATAGAGTATTTCTAATTGCTCCCTCCTGCCTTTTATAATGTTGATGCCATTCTTTTTATCCATAAGCTATATTCACTGAATACGTTGTTGCTGTTATTATTACGAACAATTTTTTATCTGTTAAATCAATTAAGAATAAGAAAAATAAAGGATTTTATTTTACCTTTATTTATTCCTTTTCTTTTATTTATTTATTTTATTTGAGAGAGAGAAAGAACGCGCGTGGGCGCACATGCACATGAGCAGGGGGAAGAGCAGAGGGAGAGAGAGAGCTCAAGCAGACTCCCTGATGAGTGTGGAGCCGGATTCGGGGCATGATCCTGAGATCATGACCTGAGCCACTTAACCAACTGAGTCACACATGTGCCCCTATTTATTCCTTTTCTAACGTTCTTCCTTTTTTAAGGTAGATCTGAGTTTCTGACCTATATAATTTTTCTTCTTTTTGAAGAACTTTTTTGAACATTTCTTGAAAGGCAGATCCACTGGCAACACATTCCCTCAATTTTTGTTTGAGAAAACCTGATTTCTTTTTGACTTTTGAAGGATGACTTCTCGGGATACAAAATTCTAGATTCGGGGTGCCTGGGTGGCTCAG